TGTACTTCCCATCTCCAGGACTCAAGTCCGGCCTGCCGTTTCCCTGAATCCCTTCATAAATGTTACTTTGCTCACACTCCAACAGCACGTCAAGTATTAAAAACCATTTGTCTCCATTCACATCCTATCAAACACGCTCACGCATGCCTGCTGGAAGTCCAAGCCCCTCGCACACAAAACCTCCTTTACCCCCTCCCTCCAACCCTTCCTAGGCCGACCCCTACCCCGCCTTCCTTCCACTACAGACTGATACACTCTTGAAGTCATTCTGTTTCGCTCCATTCTCTCTACAATTCCGAACCACCTCAACAACCCTTCCTCAGCCCTCTGGACAACAGTTTTGTAATCCGCACCTCCTCCTAACTTCCAAACTAACGAATTCTCTGCATTATATTCACACCACACATTGGCCTCAGACATGACATCTCCACTGCCTCCAGCCTTCTCCTCGCTGCAACATTCATCACCCAGCTTCACACCCATATAAGAGCGTTGGTAAAACTATACTCTCATACATTCCCCTCTTTGCCTCCAAGGACAAAGTTCTTTGTCTCCACAGACTCCTAAGTGCACCACTCACTCTTTTTCCCTCATCAATTCTATGATTCACCTCATCTTTCATAGACCCATCCGCTGACACGTCCACTCCCAAATATCTGAATACGTTCACCTCCTCCATACTCTCTCCCCCAATCTGATATTCAATCTTTTCATCACCTAATCTTTTGTTATCCTATAACCTTACTCTTTCCTGTATTCACCTTTAATTTTCTTCTTTGCACACCCTACCAAATTCATCCACCAATCTCTGCAACTTCTCTTCAGAATCTCCCAAGAGCACAGTGTCATCGGCAAAGAGCACTGTGACAACTCCCACTTTGTGTGTGATTCTTTATCTTTTAACTCCACGCCTCTTGCCAAACCCTCGCATTTACTTCTCTTACAACCCCATCTATAAATATATTAAACAACCACGGTGACATCACACATCCTTGTCTAAGGCCTACTTTACTGGGAAAAAATTTCCCTCTTTCCTACATACTCTAACTTGAGCCTCACTATCCTCGTAAAAACTCTTCACTGCTTTCAGTAACCTACCTCCTACACACACACTTGCAACATCTGCCACATTGCCCCCCTATCCACCCTGTCATACGCCTTTTCCAAATCCATAAATCCCACAAAGACCTCTTTAGCCTTATCTAAATACTGTTCACTTATATGTTTCACTGTAAACACCTGGTCCACACACCCCTACCTTTCCTAAAGCCTCCTTGTTCATCTGCTATCCTATTCTCCGTCTTACTCTTAATTCTTTCAATTATAACTCTACCATACACTTTACCAGGTACACTCAACAGACTTATCCCCCTATAATTTTTGCACTCTCTTTTATCCCCTTTGCCTTTATACAAAGGAACTATGCATGCTCTCTGCCAATCCCTAGGTACCTTACCCTCTTCCATACATTTATTAAATAATTGCACCAACCACTCCAAAACTATATCCCCACCTGCTTTTTAACATTTCTATCTTTATCCCATCAATCCCGGCTGCCTTACCCCCTTCATTTTACCTACTGCCTCACGAACTTCCCCCACATTTCACACTGGCTCTTCCTCACTCCTACAAGATGTTATTCCTCCTTGCCCTATACACGAAATCACAGCTTCCCTATCTTCATCAACATTTAACAATTCCTCAAAATATTCCTTCCATCTTCCCAATACCTCTACCTCTCCATTTAATAACTCTCCTCTCCTATTTTAACTGACAAATCCATTTGTTCTCTAGGCTTTCTTAACTTGTTAATCTCACTCCAAAACTTTTTCTTATTTTCAACAAAATTTGTTGATAACATCTCACCCACTCTCTCATTTGCTCTCTTTTACATTGCTTCACCACTCTCTTAACTCTTCTCTCTCTTTTTCTCCATATACTCTTCCCTCCTTTGCATCACTTCTACTTTGTAAAAACTTCTCATATGCTAACTTTTTCTCCTTACTACTCTCTTTACATCATCATTCCACCAATCGCTCCTCTTCCCTCCTGCACCCACTTCCTGTAACCACAAACTTCTGCTGAACACTCTAACACTACATTTTTAAACCTACCCCATACCTCTTCGACCCCATTGCCTATGCTCTCATTAGCCCATCTATCCTCCAATAGCTGTTTATATCTTACCCTAACTGCCTCCTCTTTTAGTTTATAAACCTTCACCTCTCTCTTCCTGATTGCTTCTATTCTCCTTTATCCCATCTACCTTTTACTCTCAGTGTAGCTACAACTAGAAAGTGATCTGATATATCTGTGGCCCCTCTATAAACATGTACATCCTGAAATCTACTCAACAGTCTTTTATCTACCAATACATAATCCAACCAAACTACTGTCATTTCGCCCTACATCATATCGTGTATACTTATTTATCCTCTTTTTCTTAAAATATGTATTACCTATAACTAAACCCCTTTCTATATCAAATCAATCAAAGGGCTCCCATTATCATTTACACCTGGCACCCCAAACTTACCTACCACACCCTCTCTAAAAGTTTCTCCTACTTTAGCATTCAAGTCCCCTACCACAATTACTCTCTCACTTGGTTCAAAGGCTCCTATACAATTCACTTAACATCTCCCAAAATCTCTCTCTCTCCTCTGCATTCCTCTCTTCTCCAGGTGCATACACGCTTATTATGACCCACTTCTCGCATCCAACCTTTACTTTAATCCACATAATTCTTGAATTTACACATTCATATTCTCTTTTCTCCTTCCATAACTGATCATTTAACATTACTGCTACCCCTTCCTTTGCTCTAACTCTCTCAGATACTCCAGATTTAATCCCATTTATTTCCCCCCACTGAAACTCTCCTACCCCCTTCAGCTTTGTTTCGCTTAGGGGCCCGGACATCCAACTTCTTTTCATTCATAACATCAGCAATCATCTGTTTCTTGTCATCCGCACTACATCCACGCACATTTAAGCAACCCAGTTTTATAAGTTTTTCTTCTTCTCTTTTTTAGTAATTGTATACAGGAGAAGGGTTACTAGCCCATTGCTCCCGGCATTTTAGTCGCCTCATACGACACGCATGGCTTACGGGGGAAAGATTCTTTTCCATTTCCCCATGGACAATAGAAGAAATAAAAAAAAACAAAGCTATTTAAAAAAGGAAAAAACCTAGATGTATGTATATATATAATGCATGTGCGTGTCTGTAAAAGGGTGCCCAAATTTAAGTGGGAGTAGCAAGATATCCCTGTTATCTTACGTTTTAGAACAAAAAAGAAAACAGCAATCCTACCATCAAAAAAAATTTTACAGGTTTTTGTTTCACATATCGGGCAGGACGGTATACTTCCCTGGGGTTTTGGGGGTCTACCAACCTACTACCATTCTATATAATATATATAATATTATATATAATTAATATTTTCTAATATATATATATAATATCTATAAATTATATAAAACATGGACCCCCCAAAAGATTACCCCGAACGCCCAAATTATGTAAGGATTTAGTTTTTGGTTTGTACTGATTTTTGGGGGGGTCGAAATGGACTAACACTTCACAATTTTCCCTTTATGGAACCAAATTCGGTCAAAACTGGCCCCAACTACTTCTGGAGTGAAAAAAATCTTTAAACCGGTCCACTGTAATATAATATATATATACGTATTTTTATATATATAATATATTTTTTTTTTTTTTTTTTTCACAATCGGGCCGCTCCCACCGGGGCGGGGGTGACCCAAAAAAAAGAAAAAAACCCCAAAAAGAAAATACTTTCATCATCTTTCAACATTTTCACCACACTCACACATTATCACGCTTTTGCAAGGTGCCAGAATACACATTTGAAGCTATACGTTAGAGATACACAAAATCCCTCCAAACGCATGAGTATTATGTATGTATTTTTTATGTATTATTATATAATAAAAATAAATATATTATATTTTAAATTATATAAAAAATATACATATACAATATATAAAATATATAATAAAATATTATATATAATAAAAAATAAATATAAATATTAATATATATATATATTATAATATATAAAAATATATATATATAATATATATATAAAATTATATATTTTATAACAACACACACACACACACACCACACACACACTACACAAAACACACCACTTTACTAAATTTAAAAAGGAAACTTTTGTTTTCTTTTTGGGCCACCCTGCCTCGTGGGATACGGCCATTTTTGTTGAAAAGAAGGGCTAATATTTTTTTTACCACTTATTATGGAAAGAAAATTTAAGACAGCTTCTTTGTTAATTTGTTTCTTTATTACCTGTTCAACCTGTGGGGGCAAAAAATACTGTATTTTAGGAACATAAAGGATCCTGGGAAAAGAGGGGGGGAAAAAGTTTTGTGTGCAAGGGCCTAACAGCAGCGAGCATGTTGAGCATGTTAGATAGGATAAATGAGCTGAACTGTGAGCCCTGACTACTGTTGGAGGGGAGCGGAAATTTTTGTTAGGGGATTCAGGAAAAGGTTAGCCGAACTTGAGAAGTACAGTGGCCCCCCCCGGTTAACAAATTTTTTTTCTTTCCCCGTATATGTTGGTCCAGACTGACCGAATTTTTTCCCAAAAGGGAATTTGTGAAGAATAGTCCTTTTCGCCCCCCAACTACACGAAAAACGCATTTACATAAATCACTTCAAATTGGTCGCATTTGGAGGTGATCGTTAAGCGGGGGTCCACTGTACAATGCCTGCACTTTAAAGGAGGGGGTTTCGAATATCCACTGTTTGGAATGACATTTAAACTGTTGTATTTGAGTGCCTCTGCAAAGACAGTAATTATGTGTGAATGATGAAGTGTTTCCTTCTTTTTTGGGTCACCCTGCCTTCGTGAGAGATTGCTAAAGTTAAAAAAAAAAAAAAATAACAGGTACATGAAGTCAAACTAAGTTTTAAGAGGTGAGGTGACAATTTTGTTAAACTCTTACCTTCACTGATAGATTTGAACAAGTCCACACCTATATGGTCAAGTACCTCAAAGGGTCCCATGGGATAGCCAGCACCTAGCTTCATAGCAGTGTCCACATCCTCCATTGTGCCATCCCCTGTGATATTGATTAGAAAGAATATGTCACTCACTCCTTTTACAGGCTTTGTTTTCATTCAAGTCTCTCATATATATGTATATATGCAGGAAGGCCCCGCTTATACAGCAAGTTAGGTTCTGGGCTACTGATATAGGAGAAAATTGCTGTAAAGTGAATTGAAGTCATTTTTCACTTTCAAATGCATGTAAATGCCTGATAACATGTTTACATTATCATATACCTAGGCCTAAAAAATGCATATACAGTACACACATTGCTTACCTTAAAATATTTTTGTCCTTAGCTAATAGTAAGTGGTAAATATATATAGTAAGAAATCTGAATGGGTATAACTGAAAACTACCGTATTAACAAAGAGCTGTAAAGCAGAACCTGCCTGTATAAAAATGGAACTGAAAACTACTGAATTAGCAAAGCACCGTAAAGCGGAGCCTGCCTGTATAAAAATGGAATTATGGCACCATAGCATTAACAGAAGTCTCAATAATAAACTGCAGGAAGACTACTGGTAACAATAGTGTATTTGTGAAGTTTTATTTTCAATACAAAATTATGTACCACTGGTATACAGGAAGTACTCGAAAGGTTCGAAATGAAAAATATTAAACAACGACATAGAAATATATCACTCAAGATGTATTTCAGCCACTGCATGATGTGAGAAAGACATTCCTTACATTACACTTGATATTTTTCAGTCACTGTGATCCAAGACAGGCATCCCCATAATTCCAAATTATGTCCTTAAAACTTTGACTGGGCATAGATGCTAATCAGGTATGCCAAATATTGTACTACCATTTATGAAGAGATGATGTATTATGAAGATGCCTTCTTTTAAAAAAAAAAAAAAAGAGGAAATAGTCTTGGCCATAAAATAATGTTCATATCCCTAGCCCAGAACCTTGTGCTTTCCGGTATCATCAGCATACTGTACAATTTTTAAATTTTATATTAAAAAATAAATGAAACCATATATGGAATATTATGGTCTCAGTAGTAGTACCAGTTCCTAGTAACCAGTTACCAGTAACCAGTGTACCAGTAGATGACTCACTACCAACCGTCTCTGCGTGAATCACTGACTGTTATGTTGCTGCTGACCATAGCAGGATTTCAGACACCCCCTCACCCATAGGCACTCATGGGTCAGTCAAGACAGAGAGCAGAGAGAGGCAGGTCGGCTGTTGGCGCTTTCCATACCTTCCGTTATATTATACGTACTACCAGCCTACGTGAGTATTCTTACCCTATCCACGCATCGAAAACCCACATGACAATGGTTGGGGAATCCTATTCCATTACAACAAGGGCATCTGTGGGAAAATAGGTTTCATGTTCCAACCACTTAACCCTTTCAAGGTCCGTCCCGTAGATCTACGGCTTTATGTTCAGGGTCCAAACCGTAGATCTACGTCATGAGCTCAGCTCACTCTGATAAACTGTGAGTGGTAAATTTGGGCCTAGATATGAGAGAATACATCTATGTGGTATGTGTGCACCACATAAAACAAATCCTGCAGCACACTGTATATAATGAGAGAAAAAAACTGAGACCCTGATTTTCGATTAAAACAGCGACTTTGCAGTGTTTTTTCGTATATTTTTTATAGTTGTATTTGTGATTTCTTGGTCTCATTTGATAGAATGGAAGACATATTGCAGAAATAGAGATAATTTTGATTGGTTTTAGCACTGGAAATGGCATGAAACTAAGCTCAAAATGGCGGAAATATTAAATTTTTGCCGATGTTCAAGAGTAAACAAACGACCTCACACATCCAATACACGCCAGCTGGTGGGTCTAATATACATTCACAAATGTGGTGATGATATTTATACAATTATTACAATATTGCATAACAGTAAATCTTCTGTTTTTTGGTGTGAATAAAAATTCATTATGTGAATAAAAAATCAAAATGGAATTTATTTGTAAAGCCTCAAAACATAACTAATGAACAGAGGAAATGTTAGTTTAGTGCCAGGAATACCTACATTGTTTATTCTGGACCATATTTTGAAATTGGAATATTTTGAACTTGGTGTTAAATTGGCCAAATTACCAATTTCCAGTCACTTTATTTTGTAGTTGAAACAGTTGACTTGGCGATTTCTTGTGCTCAATCGATAGAATAGAAATAATACTAGTGAAGTAGCTAAGAATTTGGTCAACTGGAATAATGTAATTGGCCTAAAATGGGAGTCAAAGTCGGCAAAATCGCTGATTCGTAAATATCACTGACACATCAAAATTCACAAGAGCATAATTTCATCAGTTTTCCATCAAATTTCGTACTTTTTGTTTTATTACATTCACAAAAAGATTCTCTACCATTTCATAAGAAAAAATAATTTTTTTTTTTTTTTTAAATTCTTGGACACTGGGGCACCACTTCAGATTTTGGCCTTGGACCCTGAAAGGGTTAAGTAACAAAAGATTGTCAGGGACACATTTAATGTTGAAACTGGGGAACCCATGTGTACTGTATTCCTGTAGTGATTTTTTTTTAACATGCTGGCCATCTCCCACTGAGGGAGGATGACAAAAAAAAAAAAAACTTTCATTATCATTTACACTATTACTGTCTTTGCAGAGGTACACAGATATGACAGTTTAAATGTCACTCTAAATGGAAAATATCCCAAAACTCTCCTTTAAATTGCAGTCATTGTACTTCCCATCTCCAGAACTCAAGTCCAGCTAACCAGTGGTTTCCCTGAATCCCTTCACAAAATATTACCCTGTTTGCACTCCAACAGCTCATCAAATCCCAAAAACCATTCGTCTCCATTCACTCCTATCTAACATGCTCACACATGCTTGCTGTATGTCCAAGCCCCTTGCACAGAAAATCTCTTTTACCCCCTCCCTCCATCCTTCCTTAGGACAACCCCTCCTTCTCTCCACTACAAAGTTATGTATCCTCCAAGTCATCCTATTTTGCTCCATCCTCTCTTAAATAGCCAAACCACCTCAAAATCCTTCATCAGCTCTCTGAATAATATGTTTAGTACTTCGATACCTCCTAATTTCCACACTACAAATTCTCTGCAGAAAATATTAAGTCACACATTGCCCTTAGACACTACATCTCCACTGCCTCCAGCCTCCTCCTTGCTGTAACATTCACAACCCATGCTTCACACCCATATAAGTGTGTTGGTACCACTATACTCTCATAAAGTCCCTTCTTTGCCTCCATGGATAATGTTCTTTGTCTCCATAGATATCTCAATGCACCACCCACCTTTTTCCTTCATCAATTCTATGATTTATCTCGTCCTTCTTAATAAACCCATCAGCTGACAAGTCTACTCTCAAATATCTGAACACATTCACTTCTTCCATACTCCCTCCCTCCCATGTGATATCCAATTTTTCTTTACCTAAATCATTAGATACCCTCATCACTTTACTCTTACCTATGTTCACTTTCAACTTTCTTCCAATTCCCACAAATATTGAGATATGAACCTCTCAGCATACATGTACTGTTGCTCTGTGCATACACAGCACACAACACACACACTTATATATGACTAAACACAAAAATGCACCTCGCTCAACAAGCCTGATAGCAGCAAGGAGGTAGGGAACAATAAGGTGGTTGGCGATGAAACCAGGAGTGTCTTTACACTGGACGATCACCTTGCCCATTGTCTTGCCAAACTGAGTCATCTTACTAAATGTGGCTTCTGATGTCTCAGGAATCCGCACAACCTGCAGTTAAAGAGAAAAAAAAATGTTACTGCACCCAAAAAGGAACTAATTTATTTATTGGTGAAAATACAGTAATGAACATGTGCACTTAGTACATAATTGATAAGCAAAATTAAACTGATGAATGAAATTTTGAAGCATGGAAAGAATTAAATGAGCAAGTTATAAGTCAGTTTATAAGAACACTTATTTAGAGTTCAAACAACTGTCTGAAGATTAAATGACATGACCTTATAACTGCAGCACAGTTTTATTTTGGAACTTACTGCATGAGTTACCTCCATACTTACTCAAAATAAACTTATGACACGTAAGTTGTACTTTTGAAAAAAAAAAATAGTTTGGCTATTTTTTTCCCCAAAATTAATAAATTTTAGGAGAGAGATTTTACTGCAAGATGATAAATGACAAGGGCATAACTGTATTGAATTTCTATGCAAAATCACCTAAATGAACTTCACAACCCATCAAAAGACTGGAAATGTGTGAGAAAAAGTTTGCTGAATAAGAAAAGGACCTTTGGGTAACTGTCCAACAATCAGTGAAGGCAAGATGATCAAGCAGAAGCAGCAGTAAAATCTTCAGACAACTAAACTACAGAAATCATAAAACCTTTGAAGAAATGGAAAATAAAATGAGCATTCAACTTAATGAATCTGTTGTGCTTCCCCTCACTGTATTCAATCCTGGTGACACCTAAAGAAAGACATCACATCATTGGAAAAACTAAAATGTAGGTTGAAAAAATATCTCAGTTAAATTGATGCTTATCCCAGATAGGGTGAGGGCTATAGAACTGTTAACACTTAAAACAAGGCATGATAGATGATATAATAACCTTTTAAGAAACTGAATAAATTTGACAAATGCTAACTATCTTCAAGGTTTCTAATGAAAAACATGGGAAAGATAACTTGAAAGTTTCTCTCACAGCAATGACAAAGACCAAACATTTTTGTGCTTTTCAAGAGTAATGCACCAAGTTTGAAGGAAGGAAAATATTAATATCATTGCAGTGGTAGCATTACTGGCCTCAGGTCTTTAGAGCTGGAAGTTCAATTCCTGCAAAAGCCCCTCATCAGAATCGAGGAACTTTTTTGAGAGGTGCCCCAGAGCCATTAACAGATACAGTATTTGTAAAGAACTGGAGAAAAACACCTGCTGATTTATTACGGTGGTCGTCCACAACCATTTTCTTAATGCCACTTATCGGTAGTTAAATATCAAAGTGAAAACTTTAAACTTGCTCACTGAACCTAACTGGATCCTATGTTTTATTGTAGTTTGAAATTCAAATAATGTACAGTACTAATTTATATGGGTGTGAAGCGTGGGTGATGAATGTTGCAGCGAGGAGAAGGCTGGAGGCAGTGGAGATGTCATGTCTGAGGGCAATGTGTGGTGTGAATATAATGCAGAGAATTCGTAGTTTGGAAGTTAGGAGGAGGTGCGGGATTACCAAAACTGTTGTCCAGAGGGCTGAGGAAGGGTTGTTGAGGTGGTTCGGACATGTAGAGAGAATGGAGCGAAACAGAATGACTTCAAGAGTGTATCAGTCTGTAGTGGAAGGAAGGCGGGGTAGGGGTCGGCCTAGGAAAGGTTGGGAGGGACGGGGTTAAAGGAGGTTTTGTGTGCGAGGGGCTTGGACTTCCAGCAGGCATGCGTGAGTGTGTTTGATAGGAGTGAATGGAGACAAATGGTTTTTAATACTTGACGTGCTGTTGGAGTGTGAGCAAAGTAACATTTATGAAGGGATTCAGGGAAACCGGCAGGCCGGACTTGAGTCCTGGAGATGGGAAGTACAGTGCCTGCACTCTGAAGGAGGGGTATTAATGTTGCAGTTTAAAAACTGTAGTGTAAAGCACCCTTCTGGCAAGACAGTGATGGAGTGAATGATGGTGAAAGTTTTTCTTTTTCGGGCCACCCTGCCTTGGTGGGAATCGGCCAGTGTGATAATAAAAAAATAAAAAATACTAATTTAGAAACATTGGTATAGTATAACCAAAATACAATAGTACACATCTAAATTCTTATGAACCATATATATAATTCTCTCTTCATACCATGACACTGAACTGATTTATACTTATCTTGTTGGTCTTGTTACAAAGACCTGGATATTTCTCTCAACTGCATGATTGCACAAAACTGCATGGATTCACAAAACTGCACAATTCACATAGCAGGCAAAGCAAAATGATGATATCGACTGTATCAAAAATGAGTATTCCTGTAATTTAAAATATCAAAATGGTATACAATACCGACAGGTTGTTAGGTATACCATTTTGATGTTCATCTTGTCAGACACTGCAACACATGGCATCTTGGTACAGAAAACACCTTGGACAAGCTTTTCAAGTGAGAAGTGGCTACTTTCTCACTACTACTACTACTACTACTACTACTACTACTCTGCACCTCTCCTTCCGACAGTATTTAAGTCTCCGCACTGTCGCTTGATCTAAATACCTAACAATTTAAAATACATGAAGGTCCTAATACAGACATAAAAAAAAGGAACTACAAAAAATACAAGACTACAGTATATGATTACAAGACAAAATTCCCAAGCGTAACAATGAACAAAGCATTTTTCCAAAAGAACTACTATACCTGATAAACTAGCTAAATGTGAATATATAGAGTACACTGCAGTAGAAAATGATGACCAAGAATCTGAATTATTTGTGTAGTGAAAGTGATGAGCAAATAGCTCTCCAAAGCTACAAAAGCTAAGTTCCTAAAGGTTTTGGAAAATAAAATTGCAAATACCCTTCAATGCTGTCCATATTATAAATTTTGTCAATTTAAATACTACTCAAGTCTTGGAGGTGGGAAGAGTAGTGCCTGCACTCTAAAAGAGGAGTTTGGGATATTAGCCTCTGGCAAGACAGTGATAGTGTAAATGACGGTGAGTGTTTATTTTTCAGTACACCCTGCCTCGTTGAGAGATGGCCAGCTTGTTAAAAAAAAAATATCCGTAGAGGAGAAACTTGGAAGTGAGTGAGGATGTTGCAGTTTGGAAGGCATTCTGAACTGTCATGTTAGCACACCTGAATTAATGGTGGTAAATGTGTTTCCTCCTCTGTTGATCACCTTATCTCAGTGAGAGAGCCAGTGTATTAAAGAAAAATTCCAATGAGTGAAATCCTATGGTTGGTTTTCAATTTTTAAGTCCTACACCAAACCAAAACAAAACTACAAAAAATGTGAATATCAGAAACTAATCACAAGGAAACCTTTGGTAAAAATATGGAATCATCAAAATTAGTGAATTTAGAGGGTTGAGATTACCATGTTTATATGGAAATATTTATTTCAAGGCAAAAAATAACAGTATAAACAACCAATATAAAATTTTATTTGACAAAATTCTAGTGAAAACATAAATTCCATTTCATATGGTTATAAATACAATTTACAATTGAGAACACTAACTTCTTCATTGCAAGTATGTGAAATAGTATAATGGAACCTTCTCCTATGAAAGTACATCTAAACAGTATAATCATCACTCTTCTTGCACAATTACATCTTCTACTGGTGTAAAACTTATCAAAAAATGAATTTCAGGCATAGCTCTCTTATTTCTTGTACTTGTAGAATCCTTCGCCAGTCTTCACTCCTAGTTTACCTTCCTCCACCAACTTGTTCAATAAAGGTGAAGGATTGAAGATTGATTCATCTGGAAATTCTTTGTGCCAACCTGTGGAGAGAGAAAGATTTTAATAATAATAATAATTTGGAATTTTCCGACCAGGAAGGTACTACCGTCCTGCCAAGTGAGCGTAAAACGAAAGCCTGTAATTGTTTTACATGATGGTAGGATTGCTGGTGTCTTCTTTTCTGTCTCCTACACATGGTTTTGAGGAACCTGAGAATTTTTGAACTTCTGAGGGTGTAAAATTCATACAATCAATTTATGACACTACTGACACCTGTCAACACATATGGCAATTTTGGGTAGGTGGTCTAAAGGAGACAAGGGTAGGGAGGGTGGTGATAAGCCAGGTGTATGGAGAAAGGCAATAAGGAGCCAGGTAAATGGAGGAAGGTTATGACAATATACTTTTGATCAGTTTTGAGTATTCCTACTATTGCAGCCTGGCCCTGGGCCAAGCTTGTCTGGTCAACCAGGCTGCTGCTGCTGCTGGCAGCCTGCTGGACCACATATTCATTACAGCCTGGTTGACATGGCACTTGGTAGAGAAAGCTGTCTAGTTTCCTCTTGAAAGATTTCTACAATTGTTCTAGTAGGCTATGAGAAACCAGGAGCATGGAGGAAAGCTACAAGGAGTTGAATTTCACTGTTAGTATCATGAAACTAATACAATTGGAATGAATAAGGCATTTTCCTGGCAGCTGCACACCCTGTTTACTGGTAGTGAAGCTGGTAGTGCAACAACAGGTCCTGGTTTTATTATTTACTTATGCTAGTTAGGCAGTGTTATCCATGATGTACTGCATGAACCCACATAGTCTCAGATTTTTTCAAAGGCATGAAGAGGTTATAGGAGACCCCAACAGCTGTGCTGAGGTAAAAAAAAAAATACTGGCAGGTAGCAGTACTACAAAAAATGGTTCTACATGACCATAATTTTTAAAGGGGTGGACCGGTAAGCCTCGGTCAGATGACCAAAAGCTCCAAAGGTAGGTCATCATCTGACTAAGACCCACATCAGGAAACATTTGTCCTGTTTCCTGATGAACCTTACCTAACCTAACTGGCGGGTAGCATATTTGAAGGCACAAAAAATTGTGCATAAGAATATGGTTGACAAATCCTCATCACCCATTCACTAGTAAGAAAGATACAATTAAAGGGTTAATGCACACTAAATATTCCCTTCATACTTTTATACAGGTGTTTTATGTAACATAAGTCTTTATAATTTCATAAAAATCTGACTAGTGAACATGGCTTGCTCTCACTTTCCTACTAGTGGTCATCTGGTCGTTAGCAAGTAGCTTGAAAAATCTATGAAGTGTACTACCCA